TTCAATGTGCCAAATCTGTTCTTCAGATGGTCTCTAAATTCAGGTGGGATATTATCAAGGTCATATTTTGGCTCTCATGGACTTGTTTTAATCATCTTTAGCTTCAACTTGAACATAGGAGCAATTGCTGGTCTGTTCCATTGTCCATTCCTGGCCTTGTTTTGGCTGAAGATACTGAGCTTCTCCATCATCTCTTTCCACAGATGTTGTCAGTCTGATTCCTGTGTACTCCATCTGGCGAGATCCATGTGTATAGCCACGTTTATGTTGTTGAAAAAAGGTATTTGCAATGAATAAGTCGTTGGCTGGTCTGAAGTAAAAGGATAACTCTATCATGTGATATCCGGCATCTTTTGTGTTACAGGGGCCCTATTTTCCAGCTACTGGCAATTCTTCTTTGTTTCCAACTTCTGCATCCCAATCACCAGCAATAATCAATACATCTTGATTGTATGTTTGGTCAATTTCTGACTGCAGAAGATGGTTAAAATCAATTTCCTCATCTTTGGCTCTAGTGGTTAGTGTGTGAATTTGAATGATAGTAGTATTAACTGGTCTTCCTTGTAGGTGTATGGATACTATCTTATCACTGACAGCACTGTACTTCAGGACAGATGTTAAAACATTCTTTGTGATGTTGAATGCCACACCATTCCTATTTGTTATTCCCAGCATAGTAGATCATAAGATTGTCAGTTTCAAAATGGCCGTTTCAGCTCACTGAAAAATCACAAACAAAACTGACTGCCATTAAGTCGGATCTGACTCATAGCGACCCCTTCTTGGATTTCTGAGGTGGTATCACTACAGAAGTAGATTGTCCAGCCTTCCTTCCGAGCAGTGGCTGGTGGGTTTGAACCGCCAGCCTTCTGGTTAACACTCAAGTGCCTTAGGCACTACACCACCAGAGCTCCTTTCAGCTTACTAATGCCTAGGATATCAATCTTTAGGTGTTCCATTTCATTTTTGGCAGCTTCCAATTTTCCTAGATTTGTATTTCATGCAGAATGAGAAGCTATAGCAGGTAATAAAAGCTCAGGAATGGATTCATCCAACTTCCTCCATCAGTGGGGAAAGGGGTGTCCTTGGAATTGAAAATAGAAGGACTGGTTTAAGAAACAATGAAGACAGTTACAGTGGAGTAAATGAAAACATTGAGTCTTGATCCACACCATTTAGAGTCAACTCTCAGCTACAGTATCAAGGTACAGCATAATCTGGGCCATAAAACGAAGTCTCAGGAAATTCTAAAGAATATAAATCATAGAAAGTGTTTCCTCTGAACACAGGGAAGTTAAATTAGGGATCAGGAACAGAAAGCTGTTTGGGAAATCCTTGAGTATTGGGAAACTAAGGAACATATATCTGTGTCAAATAAGAAATCAAGAGAAAGAAAAAAGACTTTTCAATGAAAAAACAATGGGAAAAAAATTTGATATGGAGACACAGTCAAAGCAGTTCTTACAAAGGAAATATATAGCACCTAAATGTACACAGGGTCTCCAGGAGTCGGAATCAACTCAATGGCAATGGGTTTGGTGGGGGTTTTGTTTTAAAGGCTTGTATTAAGGGAAAAAAATTAACAGCCTCAGCTTCTACTTCAAGAAACTTAATTTGGGTGAGGGAGCAGATTACATCAAAGCAAGCAGAAGAATGGAAATAATGGAGATCAAAGCAGCAATCAATGAAAGGGAAAACAAAAATAATAGAAAAAATCAGTGAAATTAAAAGCTGATTCTTTGTAAAGATTTGAGAAAATTGATACATCTCTAGCTAGACTAATCAAGAAGAAAAAGAGAAAAGATGTAAAGAAACAAGTATCAAGAATAAGAGATGATGTTAGCAGAGATTCTACAGATACTAAAAGGATAATAAATGAACATTATGAACAACTTATGCTAATAAACTTGACAATTTAGATGAACTAGACAAATTACTTGAAACACACACCTACTCAAGAAGAAGCAGTTAACTTGAATGGCCACATATCTATTAAAGAAATTGTATTTATACTGAAAAACTTTCCCACAGTGAAAATCCCAGCCCCAGATGGCTTTACTGGTGAATTTTACCAAATATTTAATTATTTATATAGCAATTTCACAAACACCCAGAAAACTGAGGTCGAGGGAGTGTTTCCCCAACTCATTTCATACCAAAATGGGAAAAAGACGTTACAAGAAAAGTACATATCTCTGGTGAACATAGATGTAAATATTCATAATACATTTTAGCAAATTAACTCCAACAGTGTACTAAAAGTAAAATGCATCTTGGCCAAGTGGAGATTATCTGAAGAACACAAAACGCAAAAATGCAACCACTACCGTGGAGTCGGATCCAACTCATACCGACCCCTCCTTGGGTTTCTGAGGCAGTATCACTACAGAAGTAGATAGCCCAACCTTCCTTTTGAGGAGTGGCTGGTGAGTTTGAACTGCCAGCCTTCTGGTTAGCAGTCAAATGCCTTAGGCACTAGGTCACCAGAACTCCTTAAGAACCTATTAGATGAGTTTTTGTAGTAGAGTACACACGCGAGAAGACAGAGTTAATGAATTTAAAGACAGGTTCATAAAAAATATCCAGACTAAAGCAATGGGGGTAGGAATTTAAAAAAAAAAAAAAAAGGTACAAACCCTAAGGTCAGTAGGAACTCTGGTGGCATAGCCACTCCTTGGAAGGAAGATTGGGCAATCTACTTCCATAGAGATACTGCCTTGGAAACCCAAGGAGGGGTCACTGTGAGTCGAATCGAGTCGAAGGCAGTGAATTTGGTTTTTGGTTTTTAAAGGTCAGTCAGAAGGTGTGAAATGTAATTTGAGTCCCAGAGGAGAGGACAAGGAGAGAGAATGGAGCAGAAGCAATATTTGAAGAAATAACGGCCAAGAAGTTTTCCAAACTGATGAAAGCTATTAAGCCACAGATCCAAGAAGCTTAGCAGACTCCCGAGAAGTTCAGCGAACACCTAGGTACATTTAGTGAAACTGCTGAAAACCAGAGAGGAGGAAATATTAAGAGGAGGCAGTGCCAAAAAGGCACAGTGGTATCAAAGGAGCAACAATAAGACTGATAGCAGAATTTCCACAGAAACTAGAAGCCAAGTGAAGTGACATCTTTCAAGTGCTAAAAAGGAAAAAAGAGTAAACTGCCAAGGTAGAGTTCTATACTCAGCTAAATTATCCTCGAAGAATAAAGGTGTGAGGGACCCACGTGGTGGTTGTGTGTCTTAACTGCATCGGCGTCACTGCCCAGGTTGTGATGTTGTACTGTAGTTTTCACATGCTGCTATTAGAGGAAACTGGGTCCAGTATCCATTATTATTTCTTGCAACTACATATGAGTGAGTCTACAATTAATCTCAAACAGTTTAGTTTTAAACAATAAAGGTATTTTCAGGCCAAAAAGTAAATATCAAAGAATAAAAGTTAGGCTTGCATTGGAACTTCTTTCCTGAGATAATTGCTTTGCATTGTTGAATTCCAGAAACATCGTACCTATGTGCAGAGGGGTTTTTGGTTTTGTTTTGTTGGGGGGGGGGGCTTTTATCTCATGAAGATGCTATATACAGCCCAAGTTACTGTTCATGGGTAAAACTTTGAATGCAGTCTCAGATAAGCAAAGGGTGCTAGACCCCAGGGCCACACAGTGGAAAACAGACTTTTCTGGAGCTTCCATTCTTGAGAAGCTAGGATGGCTCAGTGGTTAGGTCACAGGCCATGCCAGCCTTCCTGGGTTCATACTAGATGTGTGACCTCAGTTATGTTTCTTGTTTTATTAAATCCATTCTTGGCACAATTCCAAATCTAAAGTGGAAGAATACAGAGCAGTCCTGCAGAGCCTTTGCCTGAATTCACAGGTTAACGTTTGCGTCCTTTCCCGCGTTCTTCTCCCACCTCACCTACACTTTGTCCCCTGAACCCGCTGAGGTAAGGCTACAGAGATCATGACTCTCCACTCCTAAATGTTTCAGCATGTATCTTCTAAGATCAAGGAGTTCTCCTACAGAGCCACCATTTCACCTTCCCCACCAGAACAACCACTATCCTGGCCCTAGGGCACCTGGGAAAACGAAGCAAATTCCTGGGCACGTGGACTGGGGACTGGTTATACTGCATTGTTCAGCGTGGTGGGTGAGACACCAGCCATGCAGGCAGTGGGCCTGGCATGTTTGTGGAACTCTAGCATCGGGTGGCATCCTCGACACACAGAGGTGGATGAGGGCACACGGGAGGAAGGAAGGAGAGCTGTACTCAGAGCCCTGTGAGGAAGGGCTGGGGGACTCTGCTGAGAGCACCCGCCCAGGGACACCACTGAGCTGGCTGAAGCTACCTGGACCAACCCCTCCCCTCTCCCAGGGCTGGGGCTCCTAACAGTGTGGCCATCTCCCCTGCACTGCCCGGCCTGGGGCCAGCCTGCCCTCCCTACAACATCCTATGGCCACTGGTAGGCTGGAGCCCCCCTGAGCACTGGCCCAGGCACCCAGGTGCAGCGACACCCCCAGTGCACAGCCATTTAGGAACCCCCTCAGCCTGGCTGTGGGCCCGAGGACCCTGACAGCTCCACCTCCCTGGAGTCTCGCTGCTCTGGCACCTCCCTTGCACTTCCTGCCCACCAGCAGCAGGAGGAGCCAACTGGACTCCTCACGGAGCCTGCATTTGCACACATACTCATCCGTGTGTGTAGGTATGCACACGCACACAGGTATGTTTACCCACAGGTGTACGCACACATCCTTCCCATCCACAGGGCCTGCCTAGGAAACAGACACCCCCCCCCCACAAGCCCAGCTCTGGCCCTGCCAGCCCAGATGGGCATCAACCCCAGTGCCCAGAGACCAGCAGCTGCCCCTAGTCAGATGGCAAAACCCAGGCCTGCCCCCTCTCCCTTCGGGAGCCCAGCAGGCTACAGCGTTCCCCCAGCTCAGTTCCTCTGAATGGGAGCCCCATGGGCCACACTCTAGGCTGTGTTCTGTGGTCCTCACCATTGTGTTTGCTCCCCAGTGACACAGCACATAAAAGAGCTCCTGGAGAGAAACACTAAGAAGAAGTCCAAATTGAGAAAGAAACCCAAGCCTTATGTTGAAGAGCCGGATGGTAGGGGTCTCTCCCGCAGCACAGTGCTGCCGCTGCACCTGTTCCTAGCTCTGCTCTCTCCCCTCGGCCACCCTGGCCTCGCCTCTAACCGCTTCTGGGCTGGGGGGTGGGGACACTAACCTTCGGCCTGCAGCCACTTCCAGAGTGAGCGGAGGCCCTGGGCTCACCTGGGGTGCCAAATCCCGGGATCCAGGGCCAGAAGTGGTGCCAGCCCCTGGGCCTCTTTCTCTGTGCATGCGGGGCGGGGAGAAGGGGGCAGTCTGCCACGCCCTCCGGAGGTGCAGTCCCCAGGTGAGTGAGTGGGACAGGCCTGCTTCATTGGGAGGCTCACAGGTGGGTGGGGGGGTGCTTTGGCGATGAGGATCTCCTAGCCTAGGGCATTGCTAGGGCCATGGACCCCAGTGAGAAAAAAAAAAAAAAAAAACCCTCCCTTCCCGCTCCAGCACACTCTCGGTCTGATCCAGTGCCTTCTAATAAGCCCCTACTTCTTCTGTGCCTTGGCTTAGGGCCCTGCCTGCCTCGTCGGAAAACCCAAGGCTGTCCCTTTCTGCCAGGAGCTGTGCTGTGGTCAGCCACTCCTGGGACCAGAGTGCCTGGGGCACTGCCTTAGGCTCCTCCCTCTTCCTGGAACATGTAAATCCTCAGAGACTACTCCGCTTAGGCACCCCTTTCTGCAGGAAGCCCCCCCTGACTGCACAACACCTATAAGGCCCCAAGTGAAGGCCGGGGAAAGGGAGCTTTCTGTGGCGGAGGCCTGTATAGGACTAACTCTTGGGTCAGGAAAAGGCTGAAGGAACGTAGAGGGTTACGGCCTGAGCTTGTGAATACCATAGCCCGGGGAGGCCAGCATCTGGCCTCTTGGCCTTGCAGTCTTGGGCCTGGAGGCTGTGGGAGGGCGGCGCCGGATCAGAGACGGAAGACCCTAGACTCCCGGTACATGCGTCCCACCCGCCAGCACAGGGCACCAGCAGCCGTGTGTGCTGAACGTCCAGGCAAGGCTTTGTGCTCTCCCTGTCCCTCCTGAGCCCTGGAGATCGGCCTTGTTCTGTCCCTGCCCTACAGAGGCCCGTGTCAGGGAAGGGGGCCTGGACCACCACCACAGCCAGCCTGTGCCCCGACCGGGCCTGAGACCAGTGAAAGGCAGCAGAAGTATAGACCCTTCTGCACGGGTTGAGGGGGGGTGTCTCGCCCCGGCTTCCTGCCTGCAAAGCTCCCTGCCTCTGCAGCCCGTTTAGTTAACCTCCTCCCACTCTGAAACAAGGGAGTAGGAGCCACAGAGGGGCCAGCTGTGCCCAAGTGCAAGGTCAGGGCTGGAGCCATCACTATCCCCTTGGGGACTAGAAGTCCCTGAGCCAGAGACTGATCCTCCAGGATTTAGCATTCTAAGAAAAATACCTAATTGTGTCTTCATTTTGATTACTCTGGGAGTGACAGAACTCTGATGACAACTAGAGAAGGCCTGAAGACTGGGGCCTGAGACTTGCGGCCTGGTGCGGGCCATGGCGCCGGCTTGGGTCGTCTGTCTCCAGCGGCCTCTCTGGTTCCTCTCCCTCTTGGCGTCTGCTCTTTGCTCCTCCTGCGCCTCCCAGACCTGTCCGAGTGGGTCTCTTTGTGGTACCTGGAGTGCCGACTCTCCTGAGACTGCTGTAGCTGGTCCTGTGGGACCACCAGGGGCCAGGCTCTGCTGTCGGCATGAAGCTCAAGGGCTAGGAGGCCCAGGTTCTCAAGATGCCACCCTCAGTCCTGAGGAGGAGCCCACAGATGGGCCCTCCCCCTCCCCCCAGGCTGGGCCCCTGACCCTTGCTGCAGGGATGGTCATGTGGCAGGACCCCTGTCCTCCAGAGGCCCCACTCGGGCCAAGGTCCTACGAGTCCTATCTGTAATTCCTGGGCCCTGAGCCAGCGTTAGCTGCCCCAGGGCCCCCAGACGCTGCTGCTCTCTGTCCCTTTCTGCTTCCTCTCTGTAGTAGTTCCCCACACCCTGCCCCAGCTGAAAATGCCCTCTTTCCTGCAGGGGTGGCGATCAGCACATATGCCAAGTACTGCTACCACAAGCTGCAGAAGGCTGCCCTGACCGGGGCCAAGAAGGTACATGCTTCCCGAGGAGCCAGGTGTCCGGGTGGGAGGCAGGGCTGGCAGCAATGCTCCAAGTTCAACACCCCACAGCAGGCAGGGGCAGCCAGCACAGAGCTGTGCACTCTGGGCCCTGGGGCCCTGGCCAGGAGCAGACCCTCTCCTGCCTTGCCTTTCCCCCAGGGGAGTCCCACCAGTGCCTATACTCTGTCCAGGGTCCAGGGCAGGGGGACTGTGCACAGCCTAGCAGCAGATCTGAGCTGTGAGATCACCCTTCCCACAAGTGGCCTGTGTCCTCCCACTTCTGCAGGCTGACCCTTGGCCCAGGGAAGCCCCACCCTAGACAGCAGGGCAGGCTCAGAAGGTGCCAGCTCAGCCATGGCAGCTCCCACAGCAGGCAGTCCTGGTGTCCACAGTCCTGGCACCAGAGAGCCCAACCCCATCCTGGGACTCGTCTGGTACTGGCTACCAGGCTTGGGGATGGGTACCTCAGAGGGCGTGCTACTCTCAGCAGCAAGCTCTGGCGGCCTTTGCTTCTACCTGGCAGCTACCCTGACCTGGGGCTCTTGCCTACCCAGCAAAGATCATCCTTCCCTTCTGAGCCCTGGAGCACCTGTGTCCACTCTAGGGATGGCGAGGCCTTGGTCTGGCACTGCCCCCAGCATGCTGGCCCACACTCCCGGGGCAGTCAGCCAAGGGGTCACACCCCCACCTGGGAGGAGCCATGGGTCAAGTTCCAGGAGAAGAGCTCACCTGGGGCCATGAGGCCGGCTGGAGGCTGTGCCCACAGCCAGGTGAGGTCTGGCAGGACAGGAGGGGGGCACATCCCTGACTAGCCTCTTGCCCTCCTCTGGCTCACTCATTCCTGTGGATCTTATTCCTGGCCTTACCGGGAGGTGCCAGCCCTCCATTCTCCCTCCTATCCCCCACAGCTCCTGCCAGAAGCTCACTGGGCCTGACCCACCCCTACCTGACGTGAGACCCCACTGCTCCTACCCGGCTCCAGCCCAGATCCTCTTGCCCTTTAATGCATCGCCCCCACCCAGGGCTTTCTTCAGCCATTTCTTGTCACAGCCAGCCCTCATCTCCAGGGCTGTCCCCCCACCCTGGTGGTCTCATGGCCCAGACTAGCTGCCAGGTCCCTGCCTGTCCGGGGATCACTCCCTGCCCTCTTCCTATGTGACCACTGGGCCACTTGAAGGTTCAGGGTGCTGTCGGTGGCCAGCGAGAGGTCCTTTGGGGGCCCTGGAGCTGTGGGTACACTCAGGTGGCCCCAGGATGGTGATGGGTGGAAGCCTGGAACTTACGGGGACAAGAGGATAGAGGGATGACCTTGGGAGATCAGGATGGGTCGGAGAGCTGGCTGTCTTCCAGGGGTTGCGGAAGCCCACCGTGGAGGAGATACGGCACGCCAAGAACGCCGTGTTCAGCCCGTCCATGTTCGGCAGCGCACTGCAGGAGGTCATGAGTATGCAGAAGGAGCGCTACCCTGAGCGGCAGCTGCCCTGGGTGCAGACACGGCTCTCCGAGGAGGTGCTGGCGCTCAATGGCGACCAGACGGAGGGCATCTTCAGGTGCCACGCCACACCAGCGGCCCTGGGCAAGGGCCATAGGGTGGGGCGAGGAGAGACGGGCATGCAGTGGTGAGAGACAACCGGGAGGGGGCCAGGACAGGCCTTCCATGCACAGCCGTTCAGCCTAGGTAGGCAGGAGACTAGTGAATGTGGCCTCTGCAGAAATAGCTGCCAAAGGCCGGAGGCTGTGTGAACTCCAGCCACAGAACAGGGCCTGAACATCACCTGAGCTGTGTCTCTTCCTCAAGCAGAGTTGGCCACCCCTCTCGTGGGCACCTGTCCTTGCCTGTGAACAGGCTTGTGAGGCGTGGCACGTCCACAGAGTGGACCCGCCCCGGCACTGTCAGCTGCCTTGTCGCCACACAGTGACTTTCCCTGTGACCCACTTGTCAAGATTGAGTACGTGGGTTCTAGGACAGCTGGAGAAACTGAGGCTGGGTTTGGGCCTCAGTGGAGACAGGGCCTTCCTCCTCCTACTCCTAGGAGGATCCTAGAATGCTCAGAGCTGTGACAAACTCTGGGTCTGCTGCAGAGACTAGGGGCCAGAGGAGGGCAAAGAGGACTGAGCCACAGCTCCCAAATGGGCATGGGGCCAACCAGGGCACTGGGCATGGCTGTGAGGCTGGAGAGTCTGGTTGCTAGGCCCTGCCCTCCTCGGGTCTGCAGCAGACATCATCTGAGACCGGCCTGTGCTCCACAGGGTGCCTGGGGACATTGATGAAGTGAACGCCCTCAAGCTTCAGGTGGACCAGTGGAAGGTGCCTACAGGCCTGGAAGACCCCCATGTCCCTGGTGAGGGGCCCCCAGCCCCCATCATCAGCCTGGGCCTGGCAGTGGGGTCTCAGGAGCCCCAGGGGACAGAGGTTTCCCAAGGGGCCTCAGCTCATCCTGTAGAATATGCCTGCTGCACAACCACCCCAGCCTGTCTCTGTCCATCTCACCAGGGCTGGCTGCCGTAGTAGACCCACAATCCTTTTGAAAAGCAATTCTTTTGTGCATGTTCCTGGTGCTGTGACCCGTCCTCCCCATGAAGGGAGTGGGGCCACCACAGTGGCAGGTGGACCACAGGCCCCTCGAAGCCGGTCACTACCCCCTGCCCCTCTCATTGTCACTCCTGGCTCAGTGGGCACGTCACCACGGGGCGGCCCTCCCTGCCTGGAGGCTGAGCGCCCTGTGCTGTGTCCGCAGCGTCACTGCTGAAGCTCTGGTACCGGGAGCTAGAGGAGCCTCTGATCCCACACGAATTCTACGAGCGGTGCATCGCGCACTACGAGAGCCCGGAGGCTGCGGTGGCCGTGGTGCACGCGCTGCCGCGCATCAACCGAATGGTGCTGTGTTACCTCATCCGTTTCCTCCAGGTACTACCCAGCCGCTGTGCCTGCGCCCGGGCCGCCGCGCCCGGCCTGGCCCGCGCTGCCAGCGCTACCCTCCGTCCCTCTTCGCAGGTGTTTGTGCAGCCCGCCAACGTGGCCATCACCAAGATGGACGTGAGCAACCTGGCTATGGTGATGGCGCCCAACTGCCTGCGCTGCCAGTCGGACGACCCCCGAGTCATCTTCGAGAACACGCGCAAAGAGATGTCGTTCCTGCGCGTGCTCATCCAGCACCTGGACACCAGCTTCATGGAGGGCGTGCTCTAGCGGCCGGGGGAGGCGGGAGCACGGGGAGGCCGAGGGGCACGGGGCGGGCCCCTGCAGGCCGCCGCCGGCCCGCGCAGGCACCAGTGCTCAGGGCAGCCTGGCCACTGGAGGACCGCCTCCGGCCCCCACCTCATGGCCAGCACCCCGCCGGACCGACGGTCGTTCCGACAGGCCGGCCGCGCAGCCCGTGAGAAAGTGCCTTCTCTTTCCCGGAGCCGAGGGACACTGCCCCCTCCTGGCCGGCGAGCATGTGCGCCCTCCCGGAAGGTGGGCTACCTCGGCGCCCACGCGCCTGGCCCTGCCGGTGCCCCCATCACCTGTCCTCCAGCTGGCCTCGTGACTGCAGCTCCCGGGTCTGCCCAGGAAGCTGCAGTCCCACCTGGCCCGCCCCGAGCCCCCCTCCCTCCCTGTCGCCCGCCTGTTGCCTGCAGTGTGGTGACTGCACAGGGCTTTGGGGCTCCAGGGCATTGGCTGTCCACCCGGCGCAGACCTGGAAGGCACGCTCTGGGTGGGAGGGGCGCCCAAACCAAAGTCCTCGGGCCGGGCCCGGGCTGGGCAGGCGGGGTGGGGGAGGGGCAAGAGTATTTTTTCTCGGTGTAACTGTAAATCCAGACTCTATCCTGCATCCCAGCCCCGCCCGTGTATAGAGATATAAATAGAGCGAAAGCTATAAGAACTAAATTTGCTAATGACATAGTTTTAACCCAAATGCTATTTATCTCTGAGCCGCCCTCGCCATCCTCTGTGCAGAGCTAGCTGACGTCATTCCTTGATTTTCTTCTCCAACATTTCTCGGCTTCTGACCAACAACCAGCCCCGCCGCGCCGCATCATCCCCGACCTGCGGCAGCCGAGAGGAGGCGCCCGAGCGGCCCGAGCTGCTTGAGGCGCACCCGCATTCCCAGTTTGTACATGTTCCATTTTGGACTTTTGAGTTCCAGTTGTTGTTAAACTTAATTTCCCCCAGTTTTTATATATATATATTTTTAGAGTTGAGTTTTTATTTATTATTAAAAAGCCCAGCCCTGCCGAGACCCGGGTGTCCCCGATGGCGGGCCGAGGGCGGCGGTAGGAGTTTGACTCATGCACTCGGAGAGGCGACTCCGCTCTGTGAATAAACTACGTATGGACACTGGTTGGTCGTGGTCACTGCCTCCCTGTCCTTCCGTGGTCGCAAGGCTGGGGGGTGGGGTCGGGGTGGCCGGCCGGTTCACGCCTTTGCTCTACCCTGCGCGGTGGGCAGGCCCGCCCCACAGGCTGAAGGCATGCGGCGAAGTGGGCGGGTCGAGCCCCCGGCCTGGGAGTCCGCGGGAGGAGAAAGAGGTGATGGCCCACCGCGGGCAGCCGCGCTCGGGGCAGCGGGGGGAGCCAGGCCGCGCGGAACCGAAAACGCGGGGCGGAGGCGCTGGCGGACGCGTGTTCGCGCAGCGCCGCCTCGTGACCGGCAGCTGTTTCCGGTGCCGGGGAAGGATGTGGCCTCCGCGCGGGTCGCCCCGGGCCCTGGCCTTGGCGCGGCTGCTAGGAGTCCGGCCCTGTAGCGGGAGTCGGGGCGTCTCCTACCGGCAAGGCCAGAGCCCCGAGCCCGGAACGCGCGAGTACTTCTACTTCGTGGACCACCAGGGCCAGGTGAGCTGGGGCAGGGCCTGGGCGGTGCCGGAGGGAAGCGCTCCTAGGGGAAGGAGGCGGGGCCCCAGGGAGGGCGGAACCTGGGAGCGGAAGGCCCGGCCTCAGCGTAGTTCCGGCTGCGCTCTGTAGAGCCTGGGGTCGCCGCGTGAAAGCCTTGGCGGCTCAGGGCCGATGCCGGGCGGGAACACGTCCCACCTACGCGGGCCCCAGCTTGGACCCTAGGCACCGCTGCCCGGGACACATCGGCCGGCCAGCCTGCTTTGGAAGCCCTATACGGGGCATCCTACTCGTCTGGGGAGATGCAGGAAGACCCACAAAAGAGGCGGCACAGCAGATTATACTCTTGGAGGGAAGAGGGCGCTGGACAAATGCGGAGAATTAGGCAGGGCCCACAGGTTGACATTCTCACGCACCTCCCTGCAACCCCGGCCGGCCGTATGTCAGCTAGAGCTCCACCCGGGTTTCCCCATCCTGCCACGCTGTTGGCCGGGGCTCTGCCTGGCTGCACGCTGGGACTCAGGAGCCACGGGCTGTCCTCTGTCAACAGCTTTTTCTGGATGATTCCAAAATGAAGAACTTCATCACCTGTTACAAAGGTACCACTGCTTTCCCCTTCTTTCGCTCTTAGGACATCCCCCAGTGGACTCGTACACACACACCCTGCCGGTGGCAGGACGTAGCGAGGGGAGCCCTGTGGTCTAAAGTGAGGCCAACACTGGGTCGTCCCGCGACCTGCTGGCCTGCATTGTGGCCATAGCGAGCCACCCAGTGGGGGAGCCGCCCCACCAGGTGTGCAGCTTCCCACTTCGTCCCCCAGACCCGCAGTTCCTGGTCGCCTTCTTCTCCCGCCTGAGACCCAACCGCAGCGGGCGCTACGAGGCTGTCTTCCCCTTCCTCTCGCTCTGCGGGAGGGAACGCAACTTCCTGCGCTGCGAGGACCGGCCTGTGGTCTTTACGCACCTGCTGGCCGCGGGCCCCAGACCCCCGCGCCTCTCCTACTGCGGCGGCGGCGAGGCCCTGGCCGTGCCCTTCGAACCTGCGCGCCTGCTTCCCCTGGCCGCCAATGGTCGCCTCTACCACCCAGCGCCCGAGCGCGCAGGCGGCGTGGGCCTGGTGCGCTCGGCCCTGGCCTTCGAGCTCAGCGCCTGCTTCGAGTACGCGCCCGGCGCGCCCGCGCTGCCCTCACACGTACGCTGGCAGGGCCGCCGCCTTGCGCTCACCATGG